CGATCCGCCCCTGGTGCCAGGGGTTATTTTGGGTTTTGCAATAGGGGGTGGGTCGGGTGAAGAAGGTTAAAGAATTTCATTTCATATTTCTTTTCTTCTTTTCTTTTCTTTAAATTTAAATTTAATAATTATATAATTGTGTATTTAGCACGATAGTAGGCTCGAGGGTCATTAAGGACTTGCAAGAAAAGTGAAAGGTTGAGAACCTAATTGTTAAAAATAAAAAGTTCACACAGATTGGAGAGCCAAGCTTTAATTTTTCCTTTTCATTTATGTTCAGATTGAGTAATTGAACTACTTTATTGGTGCCAACAACTTTCAAATTAAGGTATAAATTTGTACACAATCGAGCTATGGTGCTAGAGTGTCACTACAAATGACAAATCAAGCTTGAGTCGTTCAATTCTATCAAATAACGTGGGATAACGAGAATTACAAAACTAATTAAGGTTAAAACTTCTCCAAAACAAAGCTCAATCTATTCTGTCATTTCACGCAAATAGACAACATTAATCTTACAACAAATGTAAATCATACACACTCTAAAACACGATGCATTAAAGAAAGGGGCCATGCTTGGTGTACATTATGGGCACCATAATGGTGTCCATAATGCACACATGGCGCCTCCCTATTGGACATTATGGACGCGCCAAGAATTATTCTAAACAATAATAATATCTAGCATTAGTAGTGTAGGAACATCAATCTAGATAACCACACTTGATAAGTTCAATTAAATGAATCATGTGATTTCCCTTTAAGTAAATCTATCATTAAATGTCATGCAATTATTATCTAAACTAGTGCTTGACTTGAGCAGCGATGAATAGCAATACTCGCATTACAAGGGACAAAAACCACAACATTAGTATTTGAATAATACTATCTAATATCAATTGTTCTAAAACACTAATCTGGGTAGCCACACATAATAAATTCAATTAAATGAATCATATGATATTACATTTAAATGTATATATCATTTAATGTCATACAACTGTCACCTAACATGATGTTGAATAGTATTACTCTGGTATATATGATCATGCATTCATAACTTATTATTGAAATTCTGCGAATGCTTATTCTTTTGAGGCCCCTTTTGATTTACGTAACATTCAACTTTTGATATTTTATGTTTAAACTTGACACGCATGCTGAAGAATAGTTTCAAATGTGGACTATATGAGATTCTTTCCTCATTGCTGACTATCCTGTATTTCTTTATTTATTGCTTACTTCAATTTGAGAATAAAAATTCTTTTCACATCAGCTCATGTGAGTTTAGACTAGTTTCACTTAAAATTATAAGATTGAGAAGCTTAATACCAAGGAAAGAGCACTGGAATTAGAAGTGTAAATGAGATCAAAGGAATCTAAAACTCTAGGTGCCAGCATGCTCTAGATTTTATTTTGCATTTGTCTTGTAACTAACCTTAATATCAAAAACTTGCATTTTTGTTTTAAATTAACGAAGTTTGTCATAAATCCACATGTTAGTATTTTCCAAGCTTCACTTTGAAATTATATTGACATGTTCGATTATACTTAAAAGTTATTGTTAGTCCCAGTACGAAATTCAATCAGCACAAGCCAACAATATTGGACAAAATACACTTCATTTTTGTATATCGACAAAAGCTTGAATGCCATTGTCAGACTCAATAATATTGAACCAAATACACTAAAAATGAATATTCATTTAATCGGCATCTTATTTATCTTGAGACTTGTTACACAAACAGGGTCGGGATAGGCCCCTGATTGAGTAGCATAACACATTTATCTTGTATATAGCACTATGCTACAAAAACGAGATATTAAGTCTCCATTTTTCCCTCATTATTTTAATTTATAATTTTTGGAATAGTATTTTTTTGGAGAATATGTAATTGAAAAAGAATGAACATTTTTAATTTACATGTAATATTATTTTATGAAATATTGTATTGTTAAAAATAACAGAGAAAAAATTATAATTTAAAACAATGGGAGCCAAACGGGAACTAAAAAGGCAACCTTAAGTTCTAAGTTTTAGATAGATTCTACAGATATTCTCGTTTTGGTGTCACCTATTATTGAACTATAAAACATCTTGTCTCGTCCAAAGTGGAGTCTTGATTTATTTATTTTTTAATTGTTTTCCCCTTTTGTCGTTTGTATTAACTATCAACGTTAAGCATTGGTTCCATTATATCCAAAAAAAAATATAAAAATAAAAATAAAAATCCACTTTAGGAGATCGCAATCAAATTTATAAAATCCATTTTAGGAATATATGTCGCAATGGTTATTAGTGGAAATAATCTGCACAAAATACCCCTATTTTGATGGAGGTGAAAATAAGAAATACAAAATAAATAAAACAAACGAGTCAAACAGCAGAGTCAACTCGGAGAGAAGCACGACAAAGCGGGCAACTCGACTGAGTCGTGAGCCACTTATCCACGCAGTCCGAGTGAAAGCAGTGGTGACAGCGAGGCAGCACTTTTACTTCATCTCCATCTTGAAAAATGCCTAAGCAAATACAACACTCTGAATCAACAAAATTCCCAGGACTCGATCCCGATCCCATGTACGAAACAATCGGGAGGTTGTTAATTGCGGTTGAGTCCAGCCCCTGCTGTGGCTGAGGCGGCGGCGGCGGCACGTGGACCAAGTGGGAAGCGGAAGGCTGAGGAGGACGAAGGCGGTATCGACAGACCCACCTGGCGTAAAGGACATAAAAAAAAAATCTTCATATAAAGGAGGAATCAAAGGCTCAATATGAGAGCAAAAGTTCTTATGATGGCTTTTCAAAAGTCAATGCAAAGGACAATGTGGATCACTCCAACAAATATAAAAAGAAGGGGAAGCTACTTAGTCCTAAAAATGATCAAGGAAAGCTCAAAACCAAGTCCAAGGGACCTTGCTATGTTTGTAGAAAATTGGGACACTATGTAAGAGATTGCAGGCATAAAAATCACAAAAGAAGGAAGGAAATGTGAACTCCGTTGAAGAGATTATCACTATGGTGAGCGAAATCAATGTAATTCAAAGCAAAGTTTCAGGTTGGTAGTATAACACCTGCGCAACAATCTCTATATGTTATGATAAGTCACTTTTCAAAACTTATCATGATATTGTTGATGGACATAAAATTCAAATGGAAATTAAGGACAATCTAAAGTGACTGGCAAAGGGAACATTGAAATCAACTTCACTTCGCGAAAGAAGATTACTTTAACTAATGCTTTTCAGGTACTAGAAATGGATAAAAACTTAATAAGTAGAGTTCTTTAAGAAAAATTGGGAATCAAATCTATGGCCATATTTGAGCTGCATTATTTGAAAAATAAAAAATAAAACATTCTTAAACAATAATTTGACAGCATTTCAACCACACATTCTTCAATAAAATAATATTACACGCAAATCCAAAAAACTTTCTTATTTTTTACGCATATATTCTACATCAATCTACTATTTCCAAAAATATATTCTTTAGAAATAGTGCAGCTCAAACACACATTATATTTAAGTATGGAAAACTTGTATTAACTTGAAATGAGTGTTTTGTTTGTAAAGGCTATTTGAGTGAAGGAATGGTCAAACTATGTATTGTTTACCATCATTCGAAGAGCTTGACTTTACCATAGGTAATCGAATTTCAGAAGCTATAATAAGAGTATTCAGCTGCATAATTGGAAAATGAAGAGATCGTTGTTGTGACTTGGCTTCCTTCCAATTCCATTTAACATTTCATCAACTTTAACATCTTTAGAAACTGAAAATTGTCCATTTTCTAAATTGTACACTCTGTAGCCCTTTGATTGAGAACTATAGCCAAGAAAGATTCCTTTTACTACCTTGTTGTCCAGCTTACTTCTCTTTTGATCTGAAACATGAATATAGCACAATGATCCAAACACTTTGAAATGTTTTGCTATAGGTTTCATTCCATTCCATTCCTCAATTGGAGTCACATCTTTCACAGCCTTAGTTGAGAGTCTATTTTGCAAACAAACTGAAGTACAGACTGCTTCAGCCCAAAACATTTTTGGTAGTCCTTTCTCAGCTAGCATGCATCAAGCCATCTCCATGATTGACCTATTTTTCCTCTCAGCCACTGTATTTTGTTGTAGAGTTAAAGGACAGTAAGTTGATGATGAACTCTATTTTCTTCACAAAACTGATCAAACATTGTTGAAGTGTACTTCTTGCCATTATCTGATCTCAACACATGAATTTTGCAACCTGATTGTGCTTCTACAAGAGTTTTGAATTTTTTAAAACATTAAACACATTTGAATTATTTCTCACAAAATACACCCAGCACATTCTTGTGAAATTATCAATGAAAAGCACGAAATATAGATTTTGACTCAATGAAAATGTTTTCATAGGCCCCAAATATGTGTATGCACAAGTTGAAGATTTTATGTTACTCTTCATGTACCTTTTATCGGAAATGATTCTCTATGCATTTTGCCAAAATTACAACTTTCACGTACTCTTCCTGGCTCTTGAATTTGAGGCAAGTCTTTTATCATACCATGTGAGGTAAGCTAAGGATTTATAGTTAAAATGACCTATCTCTTGTGCCACAAAATTGACACGTCAAAATTAACTTCTACAGCATTTGCAATAACACTTTGCCAATTTACTAAAACTTTTGTTCTTTATAGGCACAAATGCAATTTCAACATCATGTGAATCACATATTTTGCACAAATGATCTTTAAATTGCAATGAATAACCATTTTGAACCATTTGACCTACGCTCAATAGATTTGAACTTAAACTAGGTACAAGTAAAACATTATCAATGTATCTTGTTTCTTTCTTTGTCTGAACAGCAATGTTTTTCAGTCCTTTAGCTTAAATAGCTTCTCCATTTTGCATTCTAATTGTAGCTTTACAATTAAGATTGAAATTGCAAAAGATCTCCTCCTTGTTTCTCATATAGTTTGTACAAGTACTATTACTAATTCAATAATCTTTTTCTACTACATCTGAAACATGAAATGCGAGAAACAAGTGATCATCTTCTTTGAAACATGAAATGCAAGAAACAAGTGATCTTCTTTCTTTTCATGAGAAAGTGAAGCTTGCTGATTTTGAGATCTTGACTGATGTTGTATTGAGGTTTGATTTTGTAGTTTAGCTCTACAAAACTTCTCCACATGACCAAATTTTTTGCAGCAACTGCACTGCTTGAATTTCCAACAATTCTTTTCCAAATGGTTTGTTTTGTTACAAACACCACAAGGAGAATATGAAAAACTATTTTCTTTGTTCATTCCTTGTTTGCTACATCTGCCTTCTCTCTTCTTTTTCCATCATACTGCTTCTTTTCACCATTTCTCCTTGAGTATTGTTGCTTATGTTTTTCAATGAAAGCTCATTAACTGAATTTTCTGCTCTTATTGCTTGTTTCTGCTCATAAGCTAATAAAGCACCTGGAAGTTCTGTTAATGAGAGACTTGATAGGTCTTTTGTGTGATTTATGGCTATTGTTACAGCATCAGACCTTTCAGGCTAGGTGATTAACACCTTTTGAACTACTCTTTTATTGGAAATTTTCTCCCCATTTAGCTTGAGTTGATTAACAATATCTACAACTCTTGAAATGTAATTTTTAATCTTTTCAACTTTTTTCATTCTAGATTTTCAAAATCTCTGCACAAGGCTTGTAACCTTATAGCACTTATCTTTTCAGATCATTTGAAATCTCCTTCAAGCTTATCCCATGCCGCATTGGTTGTAGACACAGCAACAATTATGGGAAAAAATTCTTCTGACACCACTGTATATAAGAAAGAAAGAACTTTCATATTTTTCATGGATTGATCCTTCTGCTGCTTAAGTTGTGCTACTGTGTAGTTCACATCAGATTCAGGTGTTTCATAATCTTGCTCAATCACTTCCCATAGTTTATGTACCATTAAGAAAGCTTTCATTTTGACAGACCAAAAGTCATAATTTTCTCTAGAAAACACTGTTGGTATTGGAAGTGAAGGAAGACTTGTTCCTGCCACTCTTATCTTCTCTCACAAGCGTTAAGATCAATGGATGCTCTGATACCAAATGTTAGCTCCTTTCCTATAAAAGAGCTCTGAAAACCAGCACTATAATTTCAAAAATAAAGGAAAAGGCAGCAATAGACTTGAAGAACAATGAAGAAGTGCAAAAACAGAAAAAAAGAGATAAAACAAAGAGCTGCAGAGAAAAAAGGGTCAATCCCCCTTCATTTTTCTCTTCCATACGTATTATATAGACTTCTTTTTACATAGTAAATAGAAAAATATACAAAAGGCTGAACCTAGAGTACATTAGCTACCAATTCAACATGGTCATTGTAGGCTACATTACTTTCTACTGTAGATTAAAAAAGATAGGCTAAACTAGGAGTTTAAAAAAAATAATAATAAAAAAAAAAATTTTAAAAAATAAAAACAGCTTCTTTTCTTTCATTTCAAACATATTGTGCAAACAACTATGTTACTATAGAAATAAAATTTTCAATTTGTGAAAGATATTAAAAAAATGAAAAAAGTATTTGTAAAAACATTTAAATATACCGTGAGGTCTGAAGTATATGCGAGAAAATAGTCTCCCCAAATACTCGGATGATATGTGACAGAGCGGCAAGCATTCTCAATCCCCACATTTTTGGTGGAAATTGGACCAGCCGATGCACATATTTGGGTATTCATTCCATATTTAATTAGACTTTGGATAGGAAAAATCAGTCATTTCCAGTGCTTCTCACTTTCGATGTATATATATATATATATATATATATATATATATGAAATTAATTCATGTGTATTGTTAGCATCTCACGATTCAACCGAGAGCGGAGATGATAATTATGTATGAAAGTAACAAAATATTGAATGATTTTTTGACCCCCAAAATTATAATTTTCTAAAAGTAGCATTAGGCCTGGTTTGACCCACATTCTTTAAAAAAAATACATTCTTAAACAATAATTTGACATTATTTTAACCACATATTTTTCAATAAAATAATATTACAAGCAATTTCAAAACTTTTCATTATTTTTTAACCATATATTTCCCATCAATATACTATTAAAAATGTATTCTTATAAAAATAATGTATCTCAAACAAGGGCAGAAATTAAGGCCCTATTCTCTTTATCGTTTTTAAGTCGTTTTCTGTTTTCGATTTTTGAAAATAATGAAAACGCATTCTTTTTTTTCTTTTTTTTTCCATTTTCAAAAACGAGTTTTCAAAAACAAAAAAAAAAAAATAACTTCTAAAGAAAACCCAAAAAGTCAAGGTTGACGTTTTGGGCTTTTTCTTCACAAAAATAGAAAAGAAATGAAAACGCGGAAAACAAGTGGCACACTTGCACCTTCACGTTTTCTTCAGACTCGTCCATCTCCCTCCTCTCTTCATTGCACACTTGCACCTTCTCTTCCTCCTCTCTTTTGCCGGCGCTGGTGTGGAGAGGCGACGAAGGATATGCCTCGATGCCGGCATCAGTGTGGGGTGTTGCAGCGTCGCCTACGTCGTACCCATTCATCGCAAGGCTATTGTCGGTGTGGGCTCGTCTCTATCTCCTCTCTCTTCGACGATGGCTGGGGTTCGGGGAGACGAAGGTCGTAGCAGCGCGCTCTTCAACGTCGGCTATAGTTCGTCCTCTTTTCACTCTATGCAGTTGGGTTTTTTTTTTTTTTTCCTTTTTTGATCTGATAGCAATGGCAGTTGATGGTAGTGGTAGTGTTGGTGTTGATTTCGGTTGATTTGTTAGATGGTGGTGGTGACAGTCGACGACGATGATGTGGTGGCTGAATTGGTTGAATTAATCTTCACTGTGATGACATGCTTGATGAATTGAATTGATGCGGTTCTTCTTTCTTCTATGTTTTCCGCGTACCCCCCCCCCTCTGTTGCCGATTTTCTTCCTATGTGGTGGCGACGACAATGGCAATTTTTGATGGTTCATGGTAGTAGTGATGGTGTTGATTTTGGCGGTGGCGGTGGTTGATTTTGGTTGATGGGTGTTGGTGTTGGTGTTGATTTTGGCAGTGGCTGACAATGGTGACTGGTGGCGGCGTTGTGGTGGTATTGATTTTGGTCGGCTTTTGTGGTGGTGTTATGGTGGTGTTGTGTCAGTTTTTTCAACAAAATATTATAAAAAATTATTTTGAAAATTTCAAAGCAAGCATGTTTTTCATTTTTGTGTTTTGAGAAATAGTTTTGCAAAATAACAAAAAAAACGTATTTTCAACAATTTCAAAACAGACTCTGAAAACACAAAACACAAAATGAATTCAAAACTCAAAACTACAAAATCGAAACACAAAGAGGACAAGGCCTAAGTTTCTTGCTTCGTTCCTGAAGTCGTCGTCTCTAAAATTTTTCCAATTGGTTTGCTCTTGGTTTACCATATGTGTATATCTAACAAAGTGTATGACAAGAAATTGCATACATCATTTTTTTTTTTTTTGGCACTAAAATAGTAGTTAACAGGTAAACGATTACATTCAATTAACATCTCCAACATCACAATGTCTACTAAACCAATTTAAGTTTGGATATTAAAAAATAAAATATGTTTTTCAGCATCACTTCTTATGGCATAATTTATTCTCGTCATCTATTGATTCCACTTTTAACTTGAAGGTATTGAATGAGCGGGAACTAAACTGACTTTTTATAAAACAAAGCAATGCACAATTTTCTGAAATATTTTTTTTTAAACCAAAAAAAAAAAAAAAAGGTTCCGCCAACTTCCAGTGGGGGCACCCTTTGTCACTTCTTATAGAATTTCTTAGAAGCGTACAAGGTTTGTTGATCTGAAACGACACGAATATATGAGTTAGTAATGTTTTTACGCCTACAAACGTGAATGCAAAGGGAAAGAAAAATCGAGATTATAAAAAAATGACTTGTAAAAAGAAAGTGTCCAAAGCTTGTAGACATTCCACAAACATAAAGCTAGTGCCATTGAAAATGTCTATTGGAAAGAACCAATAAAATCAATTTGATCTGGTATTTAATATTTCCTCAATAATAATATCTTGTAGGTGAATCCATATTTTTAATGTACCGAATTCCAAAAGATTGTCTTCAATACTTGTCAAGGCGAATCTGTAATTGCAAAGGGCTGGTTTAGTGGGGGTGCCAGGCAAGGGCTGATCTAGACGACTTGGGTTATGGGGTTAGAAATAAAAATTATAGATATCTTCTAATAAAAAAAGCTGGAAAAAAAAATTACAAAATCTAGAGGGTCAATTGAAAAATTACAAAATCTAGAGGGTCAATTGACCCTGTGAAATCCCCCCCCCCCCCC